CTGTTTCTGTTTGCTCACTCAACTGTCCAATCTTCTCCCAGAAGTTTGCGGTTGCTGACTCTGGTGAATCCCTACTGACCTGTGCTAGGTTCATATTTTTATAAACTGTTTAAATCTAACTCGTTGAAATCTGGGAAATCTATGCTCTTCTATTCTAAATTGACCTCCAATGCATCCGATCTGCATGGATCATCCATGAGATTCGTCTTTACTTTGAAATGAAACTGCTCCGGTCAAACTGATTCAGAGAGTAGAATGATGGACAGAAAAAAGCTATGGAGTCAAAGGAAATGTCTACAGACCTCTGAGTCCAGTTTAAACCAAGGCACATATCTTGGAGTATTGCCCAGAGAGGTGACCCAACCCACTAGGCACTAATGTGGAGTAACAGGTTTTTTTTTTGTGGGGCTGACCTAGTAGTGTCAGATCTGTTCAGAAGGTCTACCATTACAATAGCATGATGATACTTTTTACAAAGGGTTTCTTTTAAAAAAGACTAAAAGTTTACATAGGGAAAAAAGTATTTGATTGGGGTTTTGCGATTTCACCAACAGAAAGTTAACATCGAAGGGTGGAAATCACACATTTATAGAGATGCATTCCAATATAAGCATGTATTGTGATCATTACTGTATAGCACTAGAAATATGATATGCAAAACTTGCATTGAAATTGTTGTTTGAAAAAATAATATTAAAAACATCTATATATGCAGGAAGTACAGAGTTGTGCATTTTGTAGCACTGTCACTTTGCATCAAGACTATTCCAGGGTTTTCATCCCCTGGTTCTGGTGGAAGTTTCTTCCTGTTAAAAGGGATTTTTCCTCTCCACTGTCGCTACAAGCATGCTTGGTGTGAAGGTTTGCCTTTAAGTCAATAAGTCAATTTCCTTAGAAAACTTTGAATCAGTTTGAGTGTACGATCTGGTTGAATTGTCTCTGTAAAGGGCCTTGATATGACATGTGTTGTGAATTGGCGCTATGTAAATAAATTGAATTGAAACTGAATTAAATAAAGGTTAGATGAAATTGTCTCTCTACGTTGACCTTAAATCTGTGTAGACAACAGTTGATGGACATGTTGCTTGCAAGTTACCTTTGGTTCTCGTCCAAACAGTGTCTCTGGCGGATACAGTGACAACCATCATAATCAGCATGATGGAAACAAGGCTGTAGATCCTAAATGAACAGAAGGCAAAAAACCTGCAGAGACATACATCGAAGTTTAAAAATATAATTATTGAATTAAGCTTTTTTGTGATCTGTATGAGTTTTCACAGCTGGACTCTGTTTCTAAACAATCATCTGTATCTTGTTTAGTTTTCACCCCCCCAGCATACATCTCTCTTCATATCGACCCGTTTTTCCTTGTGTTCCTCTTCTAATTTATCATTTTGGATTCACGTCTGCATCTTAATGTCAGTACATTTTTTTATTTTCTGCTACTAGTAAAGCTGTTTATTTTCACCTGCCTGCTTCATATCTGCATTTCGGTGCTGCTCTGCATCATATGACAAGTTTCTTAATAAACTTGCTAACATTGTGTCTTTTATACTTAAAGTAAAATGTTCAAATCCTATATTAATTCATTAAAAATTTGATATCCATGAAGGTGAGTCTTTTTTTACAATTAAAATGTGGAAAGCAAAAAGATCAAGAAATAAAGTTACATCATAGAAGCTCTTCCTCTCATCAAAGTAATTTACATTTTCTTGGAATATGGGAATATAAATATTTAAACATTTAGGATAGTTTGCTTTTTATAGATTTGTTGTATAAGCCATCCACACAAGTATATTATTTACTCTATATCTGATCACAAAATGCATAGCTAACTCATATTGTCCCATTCTGTAAAACTTGTTCTATGCGGTCACATGCCCGTATTTATATAATTGCTTTTCTTGATTTAATTTTCTCTGATGAAAATGTTATAACAAGTCTAAAAGAAAATGTTCTACATAAAAAAAGATCAACCCTGGGTTAGTGTGGAAAACTGTTGAAGTAAAATTTGTTTCTAATCACAGCATTACACTGCAAGATAGATAAATTGTTTTAAAAACTTTTTCTTAAAAAAACATACAATAGTTATAAACAAATAATATCAAACATAAAAAGGAATTCGTTTATTACTAATTAATTTCCCTTGCTCTTACTTAATTGCTTAATATATATACTCCAATAATCTTAATAAGAATTATGCCAAAAAAAAGTCTCAAAATAAATCCTAATACACTATAACTTAATATTTTTGATTTGATGCAAATTGATGCTTAATGTTGTTCTAACAGACATGAGGTCAGTGTTGCCTGGTGGATATCCCTGCGTCATGATGCCTACCAGATCCCAGCGTTCGCTGCAGCAAACAGGGCTGAGGTCCTGCACGGATGCTGCCTCCAGCTGACCAGCCCCCTGAGATGAAACCCTGCCCGGCCGGGAGGCTTCTCCTCCTCCTCCTCTCCGCGCTCCGGGTTCAGGGCCCCCAAGGGCCTCACCGACCCGGGGGCCGCCTCCTGTCCGCCAGCGGCGCCTGCTCCCCAGCTGCCCAGCATTGCTCCACGGCTCTCTGCCGCTCCCCTCCACCTAATATATGGTCAATCCTTAATAGCAACCATAACAGCTTCCGGATTACATCCTGATTTCAAAATAAAATATTGTTGAACTAAAGTAGGCAATATTTAAACTTTTACTGTAATATAAATATTATATAAAATGTATTCTATAATTGATGCGTTTGCTTCAAGTGTTTAGCCTTGTTGCAGAGGAGTTAATGGCTATAATCTGAGTAGATAACGCTGGACAAAAATAATAATAAAACAAATACAGTTTTCCCTCGAAACATCAAAAATAAAGGAACATTTCATTTCCCCCTTTAATGATTTATCAATTTGTATTAAAGAAATGTTGTTTTATTGTGAAAGGATCATTCATCTCAGCCATTGCAACTTTAAATTCAGCTTATCCTGTTGCTGATTTAGATCAATGACGTCAGGTTTTTGGTGTCTTTGATAAATAAAAGACTTTTTGAGTCATTTCTATTGATCAATACTGTTTAATACAACATATAATGGTGTGAAATCTGTGATATAGCGGCATCAACTAATTATGCATTAAATGTAGGTTAAGTTATTGCAGAAGCATCAGTAGGAACAAAACATTATTTTGTGTAGGGTTTAAAACTTCAATTAAATCAATGTGTTGCTATCTAATAAGAAACAGTGTGAACATGAGGGTATGAGTCTTACTGGGTTTGAAATGTTTATGAATGGCTTCAGAGCAGTCTGTCCAGATCTGCCTCTTAGGGCCTCAAGGGCAGCAGGGGGCCCCAAAGAACAGCTTTCAAAGAGAGCTCACAGCCTTTTCAGTTACATCAATCAGGCATGTAAAGTTGCTCTCAAGTTTAATGAAAAATGTGATAATTTTGCTTTCTAAGGCTAAATGGAAACTAAAGATTTGTGTGGAACAAACATGATGATGTCACAGTTGCTCATTCACTGCAGCTGTAGAATGGCTATCCATCAATTTTCTCTACCCCACTTAATACTTTGAATGAACATGTGTACGTCTGCTTTAGTCTCTCTTGCTCCAGGAAAAGTGAGTTTATTTCTGGCTTCATGCATTATTATGGAGGGCTTTGTGATTGTTTTTTAAAAGACATAAAGGCAACATTCAATAATGCATTTAAGATAAAAGGAGGCTTCAGCCGAGGAGAAGCTACATCACTAACTGCTGATACTAATCTGACAGAGTGGGGATGCACAGAAGCATTGCAGAAAATCATAACCAACTTGCAGCTTCTATATTCAGTTTTCTGTATAAATAACTGAAAATAGGTGTTTATTTAGAAGGTCTGGAGGGCTTTGTTTGCAGCTCTAACAGTGAATTAGCTCTTCTTTAGATTTTTAATCCATCTTTCCAAATATTCCAAAGTAAACAATGTAATTACTATCATACAGAGTCTGTTAATCCAATTCCCTGGCAAATTCAACTTAACAGACTAAAAATGCTGCTTTCACTTTAAATAAAAGGAAACATTGCGCACATTTAACTAGATATAAAAAAATGTCAACTGTATATAAAAGAGGGCTTTATTTTTGCATGTTTCCATAGCAACATCACGAGCTGCCAACATCCCTCAGAGAGTTTGCTGCAGGACATCCTGATGGTGTAAGGAAAGTTCCCCCTCTGCTATTTCAGCATTAATAGATGTCACCCTCCTCCCTACTGTCTGATTATCTAATTCTGAAGGAACGAATAACATCTGAACAAAAGAAATCTATTATCTTGTTTGCATCCTCCCCTGGTGATAAACAAGAAAGAAGTGGGGTCCAACATGTTTCCAGCCTAACATATTGGCAGAAGGCTAAACAAGCCTTTAAATACAGGGTTTTGTACAAAGGGGAAACATCTAACGTCTAAACAGAAAGCCTAAGGCCAGATTTGAACCTGAGACCTGACAGACAATCTTGCAAAAACACTGTGTAGTTATTATGACATTTTTAAACCAACAAACGAATCATTGTGATTCCTGTGTTCTTGCGACCCCCTGTTATCATAGCGCTGCAGGGATTAAATATACTTTCTTTTTGTGTGCTTCTGTGTGTGCATCAGTAACTAATTGGACCGAATTTCCCTGAGCAACAAAAGATCTGACTCGAAAATTCCAGCTCCGGTCTGCACAGGCTCTGCTTTGTTGTCCGGTCGCCTCTGTTTGCTGTGTTAACAGTTATCCCTTCATCTCTCTCTAGCTCTCTTTCTGTCAGCGTCCTTTCTCGCCTTCCCTTTCTTTTTCTCCTACAGCGCATGAAAGGATTTGGTTCCCTCAACCTAGGCACAATCACCTCAGCTTCTGAGGAGCTTTGAAGAAAACTTCTTGCTCACATTTTAAAAAAAGGTAACAGAGAACAAAGCTTGAGGTGAAGCCCGGTCAGACAGATATTATGGACTCTACACCTTCTGTGAAGTGGAAACTTGTATATTTCTATAGAAAGCTGGCTTTGTCTTTTACTGCAGAACATTGATCAGAAATTTAGGTAGGAGCGCTTGACCTCAAACCAGGACAGAGTCTGAAAGTATCACCATGCTTGAGCTGAAGAACCTTGAGGATTTTAGCGATGCCTGTCCCTACATGGATGTAGTGGGTTCTGATGACATGGAGTGTAAGATCTGCTATACTGCATACAATCTGGAGAGCTGCAGGCCAAAAGTGCTTCAGTGCTGTCATCGTCTTTGCTCCAAATGCCTCGTTAAGATCCTGGACCTGGGTGAGTCACCCTCGAACTCCCTGGTGTGTCCGTTCTGTCGTTATGTCACCAGAGTCGTTGGAGAGGCTGTGAGCAATCTCCCTGATGACTGCAACCTGGTGGCAAAGCTCACTCTCCAAAGCAGGAATCAGAGAAACCTCCTGATCAACCAGGACTCCACGGCAGAGCTGCTCCTCAGCCCCAGGCGCCTGAACTCACTGATGGGAGCCAACCCTTCCTCCACCCTCCCCTACTCCACCATCAGAAGCTCTCCTAACTTTGTAGTCATCACTATCATGGAGCCTCCACCAGTCTCCATACCCACCCAGAATCTTCTTGACAGTGCTTGCAGAGGGAGCCAGAACCCACCCGGTCAGGAGTCTTTGCCATCCAGCTCTCACACATGGACCATGTGGAACTGCACGGCTCTGTTCTGCCAGACTTCGGCCAGGGTTCTTTTGTGGATGCTGGGGCTCTTGTACTTTAGCTCGCTGCCAATGGGTGTTTACCTGCTAATTATGCAAAGGACCACAGTTGGGGTGTTGTTGGTGAGCCTGGTGCCTGCCAGCCTCATCATCATCCTAATCTACGGGTTCTGTCAGTGTATCTGCTATGAGTTATGGCACTGCCTGCTACCCTGACAGGACTGATGGGCCAGGCTGAAGGATAGGGCAATGCACCGCTCACTTTGAAAATATATTCATGTGGATGTTTCTGCGCAGCCAACCTTAAAAACTGAAAAAAACATTTGAAATCAGTGTCATTTACACAGCATCTGTTTTTGTTTTATACCACATTTAGTTAAAGCTCCAGTTACAAGATTGTTTTTTTGTGAAAACCTGCTTTATGAGAAATATTTGAAAATATATTGTGCAAATAAAAACATTCTTTGACAACTGTGAATGTTCAATCATTTCTCAAGTGAACATTAGCACTCAGCATTGATCAGACATTGGATATTGGTTACTAGCCAACAGAATTTGCAACCAACAAATTGACAATGTTACATTGATGCTAAAATCTTTACCTTTAACGGATGTTAGCTTTTGATGCTGTATTAATGTTGGCTTTTGGTTGTCCAATGTTGATGCAACTTTGATACCTATACCCAACTAAGAACCAACATTAATACAATGTAAGGTGTCTGCTTGGTATTAGATGTAAACGAGGGGAAATCTTTTTATAACAAAGTTCTGCTCAAAGAAATGCCACCAGCAGAATTTTTCTACGTCTAAAATTTACTCACCCTCAAATCATGAGTTAATTCTGAAAACACTGGAGATCCAAATACTGGGTCTTTCTCTTCAGGCAAACTGTAACTTCCCAACCCATCAAATCCATTCAGTGATTCTTGCTGTAGTTCTTTAATAAACTAAGAAATTATTTAATATCCTCCTCTGTACACCATAAGGTTTCGGTCTTATTTGGTCTTATTTTGCATGAGACAGCCATGGAATCTGGTAAACAGTTTCTGGGTTGTTTTAGAAAATTTACCTGCTTTATGACCTAATTCACTTCTGGTTTCTGGCAATTTTCTGAAATATCGGGTTAAGAGAGGAGTTTGTTTTTAAGGCTTAATTTGGGGTGCTATTGAATGTCACTTACCCTTAATCTTATCTTTATCCTTATCTTTCTTATGGTAATTATTATAAATTACATAACAAAAAACAATATAACAACTTAAAAGCCTTTTGAAAAATTATTTGGTGATGCCATGTTTAATTTTTTGTTGTTTTTATTTGTTAAGAATTTAAAAGTCACTAAAAGTAAAGGAAAAATGGAAGACGCTGATTAAGAAGCGGATATTTTTATTAGACAATCCAGGATTAATGACGCCTGCAAGAATAACAGTATCATTAACAGTGGTGTTTTAATTCATAGGTTGATTTTATCTTGAATAAATTCAAACAACACATAAAACAGCTGAAATACATACAGCCAATGATCTACCTGTGCAACACAATAGCCCCACTAGGGGGCGACAAAACCCATAAAATGGTAACCGTCTGTGAAAATAAACCTGAAATAGAGCAGAAAAAATAAATAAATAAAAAAGGGAAGTGGGACTGATATATAGAAAACAATCGTTTCAAAAGTAAAAAAAATTTTTAAACAAGTATGTGTCTTGGGGATAAGAAGGGATAAACGTTTGTATTATCTGGTAAAGTACCATTATTACAAAACACATCCGAATGTTTATGTTTTAACCTCAGATGTTTAATAGTAAAAAAACACTTAATTAAAAAAAAACAAAAAAACATCTTATTTCACAATGAAAATGTCTTAAAACGTTTGAGTCCACTTTTGTAGATTGTTACTAAAATTTAAATTATCTGCCAATACTCTGCTTAAATTATACGGTATTCATAAAATCTTCAATGCTCTTTCATTTAAAGTAGCCTAACAATAACAGCATTAAATGGACATGTTGGCTACTTTTTTAGAAGAGAGTTGCAACCGTAAAAAACACAAAAAAATTAGATTCTTTAAGCCTTTATATTTTTATACTTATCCTCCATGTTGGCCTAGCATAAAAGATAATACAAAATTTTAACCAATCCTGAAACAATTAGTTGCCTTGCACGGTACCTAACTTTGCGATTAAAATCATTTCTGCTCACTGATTGTCAGCTGTAACTAACTATATCTCTGAAACATGTTACATTTTCACATGACCCTGTCTAAAGTAATATTTTCTTTAGCTTCCCCTCATCTCTCACTGAAGGCACGTTTACTTAAAGGGCTCAGCAGACAAAGAGGAAAATGTGAAACAACCTGAAGATTTTAAAATAAACAGTTTCTTAACATTTAGATATATGTCAATTACTCTGAGCTTATGTTTAGTATCTTGCGCTCTACTGTGAGATGCTGGATTGTTTGTGGGGCCTCTTCGCATAGCCTGGGATCTTCCCTGGTATAATAGATCTGGGCATCTAGTGCTCTGACCTGCTCCTGTTCTGCCATGTACATCCCATGCAATGCTATTTCTTTCTCCCATTACGGTTTCTTCAATGTTTCATCCCTTGGGGCCATCTTCATAATGTATTCTTAGAGCTTGGAAGTTTCATCTTCATTGGTGGCTCTGATGCTCTACAGGCCCTGCCTCCCTATGTGCTTAGTGTATAGCCTGTGGATACTGGATTTGATGTGACAGCGACCATGCATGGTGAGTTGCTTTCATGTTTTATTATGAGTTGCCAGAATTTCCTTGATTATTGACAAGGCATATAGCAGTCCCCTGACCGGACCTTGTTCTTACCACTGAGCTGACTTCTCAGAACTTGCCTTACCCATTGCAGGTATTTGGCTGTCGCAGCTTTCCTTGTGGTTGTCATTCACCTGTGGTATTCCAAGGTACTTCTACATCTGCTATTCTTCGTTCTGGGAGTGTGACTCCCTTTGTGTGGATTACCTTCCCTCTCCTTGTCACCATCCAACCCAAATGGCATTCTGATGTCCCTGCTGTAGATGCTGGTGATGTCAATCAGTGGGTTAATGTCTTGCTAACTGTTAGCATACAGCTTGATGTCATCTATGTGAAAGAGGTGGCTGATAGTGGCCCCATTTCGGAGTCAGGAGGACCCCGTAAGGAGGATCCATGAGAATGTTCAAGCCTATGAAAAGCAGCAAGGGGGGCAGAGCATCTTCTTAGTATATTACAAATTTGATGGAGAGTGTAGTCAAAATTGGCCTCAATGGTGGTTTGCAACAGTCTCTTGGAGTTTGTATTGAAGGTTGTCAGAGTGTTTTTGACCTTGTATAGGTTTAGACATTCCAGGATCCATGTACGTATGTCGCATTGAGCCATGAGCTTTCTTGTTTGTCTGGTGTTGCAGTCTAGTGTTCTTTGTGCCTTTCTGTTGATCAGTGTGTCCTGTTGTTCTTAGCCACTATAACAAGACTGATAGATTATCTTGAAATTGTCTTTTTAACTTCAGTGACATGACAGAATTCTTCTAGATCTTCTTTACAACTGGGATCTCCTTTTCCATCTCCTATAAGCCTGATAGAGCAGAAGACATGCATGAAATCTGGTAAGATGAAGGTGGAAGCCACGTCTGCTCATCATCGGTTTGTGTAGAAAAGCTTCCCTCCTACCAGATACACAGCAGTGACGATGAGAGATCCACTGTTTATAGAGACAAGGACCATCACTTGGAAAATGAATGCCCTGGCATGGATGGCGTGATCTGTGAGATCCAAGAGGTCATAGAAACCCTTTAGAAATAGCTGCATATGATGCAAACCAATTACATCCAAGACCATCATGATCCTGCAGGCCCTAAAAGAAGGCATCTCAAACTGGTTCCAGAAAGGGCCGTGTAGCTGCAGGTTTTCTTTCCAACCAAGCAGGAGCACACCAGACTCCAGTCATCTCATCAAGTAAGTCCAGTCTTAACATGATTACTTGATGAGATGAATGGAGCCTGGTGTGTTATTGCTTGGTTTGAAAGAAAACCTGCTACACGGCCCTTTCTGGAACCAGTTTGAGACTCCAGCCTAAAAGAAGAAAAAATAAAGGTATTTTATCCCCATCATCTTTACATGTTGAGAATCCCTTGTTCAGTTAGTGATTACACTTCTGGTTTTACAGGTAGGATGTTTTAGGGCAGGATCTCATTAACCTGACACAGCTTTGTAATAAGGAAACCTTGAACTTGGAAGAGGAGATAACCAGAGCAAAGGAGATGACTGACCTTCAGTTTAATGACAGAACTGAAAAATTGAAATCTAAATAAGAAATTTTTTCATAAAATAAGTGCATTTTTATTGAATTGAGGAGGTAAGTGTGACACTTTGCCAATGGAACAATTTTCATTTACGTCCATAAAAAAAATAATAATAATTGTCTTATTTCAAGTGCATATTATCTAATTATCCTATTTTAAGAGTAAACATACTCATTCCATTGGAAAATGACATTGTTTATCAAATTAATGGTAAATACCTTTAATTTAAGAATTTTTTTTACTTATTTCTAGATAATTTTTCCAATGTGGAGTTTTCTGTAAGTGACCAGCTAACAGTGTACAACTGAAAACACAGGAGATCCAAATACTGGGTCATTCTCTTCAAGGAAACTGTAACTTAAGAGCCCATTAGAGATTATTTGCAGCAATAAGGCTAAAAGTAGTTCCTATGGACATTATTGAAACCTCTGGTAAAAGTGTGTAAAAAAAAACCCATCAAATCTATTCATTTATTCTTACTGATGATCTATTTAATCTCCTCCTCAGAACACCATAAGGTTTGGGTCTTATTGGTCTTATTTTTCATGAGACGGCCATGGAGTCTGGTAAACAGTTCTGGGTTGATTTAACCAGACGTTTTAGAAAATTTACCTGCTTTATGAGCTAATAATTCACTTCTGGT